AGAGAGAGAGAGAGAGAGAGAGAGAGAGAGAGAGAGAGAAACAGACAGAGACAGAATTCTCTATGGCGGTAAAATCGTAAAATCCATCTCATTTTAATTTAAAACCCAGGTTTTTCAAAATTCATATTATGGCTTTCAGGGCAGAATTGAGTGTGGCGCTCTGACGCTCCCCTTGTCCCATTCACGCTCACTGGCATTGAGGCCCGTCCGTCCAGCGGGAGCGCCTGGCAGAGCCAATGTGTGCGATGATAGTTCCGGTTGGCTGTGCCCCGGGGGATGCTCCCAGCTCTCCCCTTCTAGGTAACGAACCGATCAACTACTACCCAGCGGGAGCGAGCGATCGCCTTGTGACGGTCCTCTGTGAGGGTCAGCGCTGTCACTGTTCAAAATGATAACTGATAATCGAAAGATTAATTATGGCTGCTGTGTAAGCCTACAAAGGATTTTCTTCGCATATTACAAAGTAAATATATCGTTCGCAATTCAAAGCAGCCACAACCGTCCGCAATCCGTAAGGCTCTTACAGTGAAGACGGTTTCACGCGGGAAACGTCCCATAACTTGTAAGAGTTCACAAGATTACACTTTTATTTTGGACCGACTAGGATCTTTCCGAGCTGCTCTAAAGCCCGATTGTTAGTCAAATGTTGCAGCAGAACAATGCCACCCACCTTCGTACGCCTGCCGCTCTCCGTCCAGCATGACGCCCAGGTTGAGGTCGCACTCCTCCCGGGTGGCGAAGGCGAAGGGCCTGCCCTCCTCGGCGCCCGCCCTGCTCAGGACGCCGCTGCTGGCGCCGCCACCGCCACCCAGGCCGTTGCCGGCGACCTCCTCGTCGTCATCCTCGGCGTCGTCGTCATCCTGGTTGTCCGCCGGGCACAGGGGCGCTCGGCCGCACGCACACAGCGGGCCCACGATGTTGCAGCCCGTCACCATGACACCGCCGCCGCACGAGCCGCCCACCTCTGCAACAGACAGCGACACGGTCAAGCGTTCCGCCGAGGGCATTGTTTCTGGAATAATTTTGGAATATGTGGGATGTCTGGAATAATTTTGGATTATTTGGGATGTCTGGAATAATTTTGAAATATTTTGAAAACTTTTGGAATCTCTAGAATATTCTTGGAACATTTTGACATTTTCGTTGGAAGTTCGGGAAATTTTTAGTGTGTGAAATATCGGAAAATTTTCTGTGGAATATCTGGAATTCTTTGGTATTTCTGGAATATTTTCGGAATATTTTTCAGTGAGTACATTGAATATACAAGTGGTCCACCTCTCGCGTTCCGCACATTGTCACGCACACGCACATGCACACACACACACACACACAGAGGTGCCTGCATGCGCACGACGAAAAAAAAAGTTTGCAGCTCCACCTAGAGAGTTATCTCTCTACGCTTGTAGCAAATAGGGAGAGAATTCTAATGAGCAGGGACCCCCAGCAGACGAGCAGCCCCCTGGCCTGGTGCTCCAGCCCCGCCCCGCCCCATACCCTCCGTGACCCTCCGCGCGTCGAGAACTTTACATAAACTCAGTTGGCCTTTCAGTGCATTGGGGTGCAGAGGGAGGGCGACTTGGAAGCCCTCACAAACCACTGCGAAAATTTTCTTTGTCAATATGCAGACTTGCGGCCTCTTGCGCTACCGTCGCTCGAATTTCGAACAATTGTTTTCCAACTTAAAACCTAAGTAATGAGGATATTTGCCCAAGTTGAAGTTCGATTTGCGCGGAAAACGGCCGCGCAAATCTGTCCGATTTTACTGAACGGTTTTGGTACTTACTTTTGTACCGTGCTCAAGAAGTGCATATGCGTACTGCGCTCAGATTTTCACCCTACACATTATTTTTTTCCCCCGGTTTCACCCCACTGAGTAGAGTGAGTAGAGTCACGCAAAACCGTCGGCGGCAACCCCCACTCCGCCCCCGCGCCCTTTGTCCACGTACGTAGCGTGTTCTATTTCTAGCGACCCAGTGAGCAGACTTCCTCCCACCGCCACACGCCGGCCCACCCGCGGCAACATAGAACAACAACAGGACACGACGACACGCGCCCTGCTGCAGACCGACACCAGCGCACTCGAAACGTGCTGCACGCAACAAATTATGGCGTGCATTCCTTTTCCAAGTTTTCGGCGTTTCAAGGACCATTTTTTTTTTATTTATTATTAGAGGAATTTATTACAATTTTTGTTTTCAACTTCCTTTGCTTGCAACCAATCCGCAGAACCAACACGTATGTTGGGGTTTACAGAGGAAAGGAAATGTAAGCTCTCGTGCGTGTTTGAGAGGGCTAGCCCATGTCGTGCTGCATGAAAATCTACTGATCTCAAGGGAAAAGGACAGACGATCTTGAAAGGTCAGCACCCGAATTGAGCGGGGAGAAGCGACGCGTGAGTTCCATCTCGCAAACCTAATCCACCCCCTCTCCCAAAATCCGCACTGCTGCCACCAGGGCCTAGATCGTGACACACAGAAGCGCTCATTTCAAAGCCCGACCTTAGAAACAAACTCAAGGGTCGTATAAAAAGGGTTCCTCCCTTTAAAAGAAAATAAAAAAATGAAAGAGATAATAATGGCATGACGCTCTTGCTTAGTTCAAAATTACCACCGCGCCCTGCACAAGCCACCTCATCTGTATAATCGGTTTAATGTGCAGATTTGGCTTGTTTTCTCCTTAGCGCCAGGATAGGGGGACCGCGCAGGTTGAGCTAGTGTGTGTGTGTGGAGGGGTTGGCGGGAGGAAAATGAGAGGCAGAGGGATGGAGGGGCAGGGAGACTTGACCCTACCGTAAAGTAGTTTACGGTACGTACGCGTCCGCGGAGACTTTTTGTGTACTGCCCTGCCATAAATCGGGCCATCCCCCCACGCCACCGCCCCCATGCAGACCAGCCCTCTCTCTCTCTCTCTCTCTCTCTCTCTCTTTCCGCATGCTGGCACGCACAAATGCTCGTGTCCCCCAAGTGGCGGACTGCTTTACGGACTTGGCAAGCGGCGGCGGTGCCTTTGCTAGCGCCGCGGGAGGGGAGGGGGGGGGGGGTGAGGGTCAGCGAGAGCGGGGAGGGCATGGTGCACAACCCCTCCCCTCCCCCACCAGTGGTGGTGGTGGCGGCGGCCTAGACGCGGGAGGGGGGAAGGGGGGGGTCGAACAAAGGGATTTATGCATTTACCCTTGGCAGGAATAAAGGCACCTTATCGCGCAGACAGTGACGAATGCCCCTCTTCCTGGCACTGCCGTGCCGCCGAGAGGAGGGAGGAGGGGGGGGGGGCGTCGAGTGGCACTGCCCCCCACCCCCGGGGGGGCAAGTAGCTCCTAGTCTCTATTCTCTATAGACGACCTCCCCCCCCCCCTTCCCCGACCCCTTACCTCTTTCTATTTTGGTACAACTCCCGCGCCGCCTCCACGCAACTCTCCACAGTCCAGTTTTACCTCCCTCCCTACACCCCCACGCGACCACGAGGGGTCGAGGCCAGAGTTTCAAAAACGACGATCGTTCATACTTTTATATTTTTGCTGAGACAATAGTTGTTTTGCTCCACGCATACCGGGTGAATCAGAGAAGACGCAGGGGCGAGCGGGTTTGCCTACCTAAGGGGCTATGGTGCCTTACGGACAGAGCGGGTAGGCAAACCCGCCCGCACCTCCGTCTTCTCTGGATCACCCGCTACATGTGTGTGTGTGGGTGTGTGTGTGCAAAAGCTGTTTGGCGGGCGAGCCTGGCAGCCGCGAGCGACGCTACTACTTCAGTGAAGAGCGAGCGTCTGGCTTCTTATCGAGGAAATGGGACCACGTAGGGGAGGCGTGGCGTACACGGTATTAGGGGCCAGCAAGCCATAGCCAGCGTGAGACCGCTCTCTTTCTCTCTTTCTCTTTCTCTCTCTCTCTCACTCTCTCTCTCTCTCATATACACACGGCGCAAGAGGCCAAGAGGGGTTCCAGATTCCAATTTCAATGTGAAATCAGAGTGAAAAGTAGTCTAGGTGCCTTACAGCAGCAGCAGCAGCCACTTCTGGTCGCTGTTGGGACTGACTTCGATTGAAATGCGCATAAAGAGAGACGGAGGAGAGGAGGGGGCGGCAGCGTTAAAAGCGGGAGGGAGAGCGAGGGATGGAGAGAGAGAGAGAGAGAGAGAGAGAGGGGTAGAGAGAGGGCGGGGGAGGGGTGAGAGAGTGCGTGTTGCGAGGCTCGCTCGTTTGTCATGATAACCATCGGGGCTTTAAAATGCATATTACAGAGGTATTTGGCGAGCGCCCGAGTGCCCGGCCGGGGCGGGGAGAGGCGGAGAAGGGTGGTGGGGAGAGTCATCAGAATGGTACTGTGGAATGGAGGCCGCGTTCCGCCCGGGCGGCCTCTAGTTGCAGCACCGGGACGCGCGGCTATTTGCAGTGCGCATACGACGGGAAATATTTGCAGTATTTTTTCATATTGTCAATAATAAGAGCGCACCGGGCTCGGCAGGCGCGCCTGGTGACACAGAGAGAGAGAGAGAGAGAGAGAGAGAGAGAGCGGGGAGGGACGAAAGACTGTGTGTGTGTAAAAGAGAGAGAGAAACGAGAGCGAGGGAGACAGAGAGGGAGAGAAACGACAGAGAAAACGAGAGAGAGATATACGAGAAAAAGAGAGATGGGGGAGAGAGGGGGAAGGGGAAGAAAGAGAGGGGGAGCGAGGAGAGGAGAGAGACTAGAGTTTGGCGGACGAATTGCAATGGCAATCAATAGCAATCGAGCCCAAGCAGAATCCATTGTTTGCAATCGTCCCCCCTCCCCCCTCCGCAACCGTCCCTTTGTGCCGAGCAGCCGGCCGCCTGAACCACCCCAGTGTGTCCATCCGATCATGAAAACGCGCGCCAAAGTCAAATGAAGTCGGAAACAAAAACCTTCGCCTGGCGAGCGGGCCGGGAGCGACAGAGAGAGAGAGAGAGAGAGAGAGAGAGAGAGAGAGAGAGAGAGAGAGAGAGAGAGAGAGAGAGAGCGAGAGAGTGAGTATGGACGGGAGATTCCCAACAATACACAACACAAGATGAAAAGGGCGCAGACTCATCGGTCCATTACGAGTCTACTGTGTGTGTGTGTGCGGCAGAGCGCCCCTCATTATATCAGGAAAGTGAAAAGCTTTAGCACGAAAAACAACAAAATAAAACACGACACGATTAAGAAAATCTCACAAAGGGTTTTACCACTGTAAGGCTTGCAGAAAAGTCCGATTGCTTTGTATTGTTGCGAAGCATTATACTTATTATGACGAAGCATTTTCTTGCCTGCTTGAGTATGTAAGTATATAATAAGGTTATATCCTTCTTCAAACCCATAAAAAAAAATCAAAGAGAAAACCACATTTTGTCTCGTTTGAAATAAAAAGGCGATCTACTGTATAATTGTTGGATTTAAATTCGCATAAATAAATGCTAGAAATTGGCAGAATGTTCGCGCGACAAAAGAAAGGGAGGGAGGTAGGCATCTACTCGCTTGGCGCTACAGCTGTATAATTTCGAGCCAGCGGGGCGGGACACTAATTATTGAGGAGCGACGCTTTCCTCCAACGGACGCCAAAGACGTCGAGAAAACAGGAAAAGGTGGCGAGCTGCTGCCGCCTCGTTACGGCGGGGCCGGGGCTCCTTCCACACCTCCACAAGGAAAGTTAAAAATTTACAAAATTATCCGGAAGTTAACCATTTTGAAATTTGCAAACTATTTAATGCCCTAGAATAACCAGGGAAACCCCGAAAATAAAAACAACTCAACAACCGTGGAACTCACAGAGGGAGAGGGAGAGGGGGAGAGGGAGAGAGAGAGGGGGAGAGAGAGGGATAGAGACAGGGGGGGAGGGAGAGAGAGGGAGAAAGGGAAAGAGAGAGGGAGAGAGAGAAAGAGAAAGAGAAAGGGAGAGAGAGAGTGGGGGATGGAGAGAGAGGGAGACTATGTCAAAGCAACCACACAGCTTGGGCTGTGGTTGGAATGGCGCGC